AAGGGAGAAAGAAAGAAAGAAAGAAAGAAAGAAAGAAAGAAGGAAAGAAAGAAAGAAAGAAAAAAGAAAAAAAGAGGAAGGGGAAAGAGGGAGGGAAGGAAGAAAGAAAGAAAGAAAGAAAGAAAGAAAGAAAGAAAGAAAGAAAGAAAGAGGGAGGGAGAGAGAGAGAAGGAAAGGAGAAAGAGGGGAGAGAAAGTGAATGATGGATGGATGGATGGATGGATGGATGGATGGAGAGAAAAAGGAGGGGAAGGAAGAACCACAAACCTGGTTGCAGCTTCAGAGGATGCTTTGAAACAGCACAGCAATCCAGGGCTGGAAGGGACCTCAGAGGACATCTAGTCCAACCCCCTGCTCCAGCAGGAGACCTTATATCCTCTTGATTATTTTGGTGCCTCTTAACACAGAAATCCTCAGGCATTGCCAATTTATCCCCCCAGGAGGGGAAAAAAAGCCTAGAGCAAAAACTTCATGCAGTATTAAAAAGAATAGAAAAGCGGGCTGCTGTGTATTGTTTAATGGACTGCTAAATTGGCAAAATGGATGGCTAAATTGGGCACGCCCACCCAGTGCCAAGCCACGCCCACAAAATTAGCCACACCCACAGAACCGGTAGTAAAAAAATTTGAAACCCACCACTGTGCAGAAGCAACTGAAATGATCACCAGCTCCATGGTTCTCCATAACAAGAGGAAATCATAAGCCCTTGGCTATGCAACCCCAGAATTTACATATTTATGGAGGTTCTCAGTTGTCCAGATCATGGTGGTCCGAAAAGTGCTTTTCCAAAAGGTAACTGGATCTTTTTGTTTTTTTCTTTGCAACTGCACTGAAGAAGCTTCTTGGTGAGAAGCAAGAATGTTTTTCAAAGAAAAAAAAACTAAGGCAGTCCAGTTGAAAAAAAGGTACCGTTGGAACACCCAGAATTTATTATTGTGATCAGAGTTGGCCATTATCTTCTTGCAAGCAGCATAAAGAAAAGGCTGAAGATTACTAAATATTGTTGCTTTTTAATACCTGGTGGTGTCCTAGATGACAGCGGGCCTGCTATCAGATTATCGTTCTCAAAAAAGAAATATTTCTGTTCGATATCCCACATTTTGTAGTTCCACGGTTCATTCACAACTTCTTTATCTGGAAGACATGGGTATGAGTGAATAGAGATCTTTAAAATGATGAAAATACGTAAGATATTAGCATACAAAGCAGGTGTCAGTAGAAGAAAATGCAGGTAAGTCCTTGACATACAGTACAACAGTTCGTTTGGTGACTGAAGTTACAACAGCACAGAAAAAAATGGCTTATGACCGCTTTTCACACTTATGACCACTGCAGTATCCCCACGCTCATATGATCAAAATATTAGATACTTGGCAACTGCCTTATTTAGTGATAAAAGTCCAAAAACTCACTTAAAAACTGTCTCACTTAGCAACATAAATTTTGGACTCAATTGTGGCCAGAAGTTGAGATCTACCAGTATATAATTTAATGAGTTTTCCCTTTCCCACTTCTGCATGCTCACCACTCTGTTGTGGTATAAGGGAGCCAGGAAAACCTGCTCTTCATCCAGGCCTTTGATCAGAAGAGAGAGACCCAACATGTCATCATGCTTGCCATCCTTTATCTTTATTTTTTATGTTTTATTGAATTGAACGTAGAGTAATTGATTGGATTGTTGTGAGCCACCCAGTCATTGGGATTCAGCAGCATGCAAGTTTAATAAATTATGGTTGGTCACACAATCAACCAGATGTTTAGGCTGGATTTGGCATTGTTGTTTACTTGTCACATTCTTTCCAAGGACTATTATTGTTGTTGTTATTGTTATTGTTATTTGCATAATCAGCCAGATGTTTAGACTGGGTTTGGCATTTTTATCTACCTGTGAAGTCCCTCCCGAGGAGCTGGGATAAGCAGGTATTATTGTCCGATGGTGTTAAAGGTATTCTTGCAGGATATAACCTGTTCTAAGGAAAGCTGCCTTTGGCAATTGACTGGTAGTGATTTTGTCTATTCCAATGGCTTTTATTATGCACCACCTTGCAAACATTTTTCACATTCATGGCTCAAATCAAGGTTGCAAATTGCAAAGACATTGAATATAATTACAAATATGCATATTGCTATTTCCCTTGACCCATTTCGTTCAATTCTTGAGATGAGTCTAAATCTCTCCATTGTTAAGAAGCTGAAAGGTAGCAATTTATCAAGTTCCCAATTCTAATATGTTCATCTTGCAATGAAACTGGGCCATGCCAAATAAGGTTTTAGATTGCAATCCTAAAGTTGCTATTCACCTTTAAATGCATGGAATAAATCTTTCAATTCTTCCTCCACGGTTCTCTTCTGCGGTTCCATCTCAATAGTTACTGAGTAACTTATTCAATTACTGCTTTCTGTCGCTGTGATCACCTTTCAGGTGATGCCTCTTTTGCAGTTATAGTTACAATCCTAGAAGAAGCAACTGAAAGAGTTTAGCATTACATTCATGATAAGAAGAGAATTAGAGTCCACAATCATTCTAAGCAAAAAAAAACAAGGGATCAAGCGCTTTGCTGCATATGGAGAGAAACCAGAGCCAAGAAGACTGGTTTTTAACAAGAGAATGAAGGCAATGGACTGCTTTATTGTTGTCCTAGGATTATTTGGATTTGTATTTCTTACTTTGGCTTTGCAGACTTTTTGCTGAAAGAAGAGTAGGGAAATAAAATGCTTTATATAAAGAAAGAAAGGGGAAGGGGAAGGGGAAGGGAAGGGGGGGAGGGAAAAGAGAAAAGAGCCTGCAGGACAAAAGCTGCAGGACAAAATAGCAGCTTAGTATCTAGATTTGTGGACATGCCCATAGTCAACTGAAATAGACTTGCCTTCCATAAAACTAGAAACACAAACTTCTGCCGTTTAATTTAGAGGGAAGGTCAGAGAGGGGATTCACCACCCTGTCCTCTGGAGCAAATAGCTCAAGCAAGATTAAAGGATGCTGTGAGTGTGCTTTTGAATAGGTTTTGATTCCTGACAAGAGTTTCCTTGGCAAGATTTCAGAAGTGGTTTGCCACTGGCTTCTTCCTAAGGCTATGAGACAGAGGGACTGGTCATCCAACTTAACTTCTGTGCCTAAAGCAGGAATTGAACTCACGGTCTTGTGGTTTCTAATTCAATGCCTTGACCCCTGGCTCTCTTTTACAAGGATGCCATAGAACTGGGGGGGGGGGATAAAATAGGAAGAACTTTCTAAGTCTCTTTCCCTGACAGGCACCACTTTCCAATCGATCTCTCTCTCTAGCCCACCTTGATGCTTCTAAGGATCTCATGCGGGACAGCCAAATTGGGTGAACTATATTTTGCAAAGTTTGGGAAACATTTGAAAGGCAAAATGGAAACTTGACTATCTAGGCAGTTCCTTATTTGACGATGTCTTTTGATTTTTATTTTGAAACCAATGTGGTTGCTGGAATGGATTTTTTAATAAAGGATGGTTCCCCATTGCAACATCTTCTTAGCTTCATAGCATCACCCTGCTATGACTGAAGATACAGTGACCGCATTTTATTTTATATTATATATCTCATATTTTGGCACTATGATTCTTAGATATTAAGGCTACAGTATTAGCTATTAGTAGGAAATGATTAAAGTGCATAGCCCCTCCATTTCATCCTGTTAACTATATTTGAAGATATGTTAGATGAGAGATAACCACCCTTCCTTATATTCACCCACTAAACTTCCTGGGTTTGCTCCAGCCCTTATAACCTTTATAATATAATATCAATATAATATATCAATATAATATATCAATATAATATAATATCAATATAATATCAATATAATATATCAATATAATATATCAATATATCAATATAATATATCAATAAAATATAATATGACACAACACATCATATCATAAAATATATTACTAGACTAAAAATATCTTATATGAACGCATAAACAAAACTGTCACATGTGCAGGTGTTTGAAAAGAACGCTCATTCTATTCTCCAGTGATGAAGGTGGGGTATTTTTGCAGCAGATTGGCATACCTCCTACCAATTTAGCTGTCTTTGAAAATAGTGCTTTGACAACAATTGCAAAATGCTTCACCCAATACATTTCTCTGTGTGTTTTTAAAATCCACACAAATGAAAGAGACCTGCTTGGTTCCAGAAATATTATGAATGACCACTGTTTCTGCAGGTGAGCCTTGCAAAAGATTATGAAATTGCTAGCCCACTCTCCTATGGCTTTAAAGCAGGAGAATTCACCTGAAAGTGTAAGGTTTTAGGAAATTTTATTAGAGTTTCAGAACTCTACTAAAAAAAATGCCACTAAAGAGTGATTTTTTTCTGGGGTCCCGCGCAAAGCCGTATATAAGCATTAGGCCACCAAATGTTCCTTTCTTTTAAAAGATGCACTTGAAAGAAAAATTCAAGGGAAGATACTGGAAAAGTTGACTTTTTGATTCTGACTTTACAAGAGATTCAGTTGTAAACCAGGCAAATGTCCCCTCCCCACAGCTTCTAACCACCACCACCACCACCACCACCACCCCCGCAGGAAAAATAGCAGTTTTGTTTGACCTGTTAGTTTGGGGAATGTTTAAATGGAATTTTTAAAAACAAAACAATCAAGGACATTAAGATTGAGTTTACCCATTTTGTTTCTTAGTTCAATAAAAAGTGGGGGGGGGGGACCAAATGCCTATCAAATTTTGATGTTTGCTGTTCAGTTTCAAGGTGCATAGTTCTAATTTCCCACTCTTACTACAGGCAATGCTGGGTTAGAGATGATAGTAGGCAGTTTTGTTTGGAGAGAAATTCCAGAATAGGACCATTGCTTGCCTACATAACCAAGAAGACAAATCTACTCATGTCATATAAAAGGGGAACTTAAGTTAGCAGAATCGTTTTCAGTCCTTCTCTTGAAAATATGAAGGTCAAAAGTTATTTGAATTTCCTCTGCATTTCCTATTAAAGTAGAGATTTAGACAGGGGAAAATTAGAGGAGTCTTGATTTTCTCTCTCACAACCAAAATAATTGCATAAATGGAAGAGAGAAATCTGAACATTAAAAAAGAAAAAGGTAATAGGAAAGATAATGGGAACTATAAAATAATAATACCTGAAGAGAACGATCTGAATATTAAAAAGAAAGAAAGATAATAAAGAAAGATAATAGGAACTAAAGAAGATAGTACCTCAGCTGATCGAATGAATCCTGCTCCACACTGTGCTTTCTTTCGATTTGGAGCTTGCAATGGTTTGGGATAAGGTTTTAACAGCTTCCTAGTAGTTAAACTTCCTTAATAAGTTAGTTTCAAGATTAGGCACAATATAAACTTAGCAGGAAGCTTTCTTACTATAAAATAAAAATTCAATGTACTTTCTGGATACTTTTACTATTTTTTCAAAATAGTTTTTATTAAACAGTTTTCCTCATTTTATATCACCGTTTCTATCTTTATAGCGCTCTGATATCAGTATATCTCTTAAGTACATACAAATTGTCTTCCTTGTTCCTCCTTTCCTGTTGTGTACATATTTATTCTTATTCTTTGCTTCTGTTCTCTAACCAGTTATACCATGTGGCCCAAATCAGATAATATTCTGTTTCTCCTCTTTCTTTTAACTCCATTATTAGCCTATCCATCTCCACACATTCTAGCACTTTTTAATCACCATTTCGACAGAGGGGGTACTATCGTTTTTCTAGTTTTGCGCATGAACAATTCTATCTGCTGTTATTATGTGTAATATGATATATTGAAATTTTTTACTGTAGTTTTTTTATTAATATACCTAATATGAATAGTTCCTGTTTTGGGTCTATTTGTTGTTTAGTCATTTCCTCCAGCCATTTTCTTATCCTTGTCTAATATTTCTTTGCAACTGGGCATGACCACCACATGTGGTAGTATGTTCCTAGCCTCTTTTTACATTTCCAGCATTCCGCTGTTCTGTTTGGGAACATTTTCTCCAATCTTGCTGGAGGCAAATGCCAGCGGTAAAACATTTTATATATTTTTTCTTTGTAAACTGCGGACATTGGCAGCTTATACTGTGTTTCCCCAAAAATAAAACAGGGTCTTATTTTCTCCCCCCCCAAAAAAAAATAAGCACTTGGCCTTATTTTTGAGGAGGTCTTATTATTTTTGAGGTGCAGGAGGCGGTGAGCGTGGTCACCTCATGAACAAATGAAGCAAGAAAATTATGGCTTCAACTAGAGTTGTTTCGAAAATTGACACTAAAATCAGAAAGAGAAAAAAATAGAAACCAAATGCAAAGTGCAAAAACAGAAAGAAAAAAGCAAAAGAAAGAAAAATATTTGGGGGAAAAGGAATATTCAAGAACTGATTCCCACCCAATATTCCTTGCAACAAGTTCAGGCAATTATAATATTTCCCCATACCCATAAGATTATATACACAATTCACTTTTCCCACAATATCCCCACTCTTTATCAATTCACAAATCCAAAAATTACCCATTTCTGTCCCAAGTACTGGCAGAAAGTTCATAAAGGGTTTTCAGAATTTTATAGATATATTTACTGTAACCGTGGTTGAATAAGTCAACCTTATATTCCTTTCTTTTGGTTTTGACAATCTTGATCTTTTCATCAGATTACTGTTTAAAGGCTTGAATTTCCATGCAAAACATTTTTTTTCTTTCTTCTCAAATATTCATGGCCATTAATGGAAAGAAAACATGATAAGGTCACAGAACCAAGTAGACAAGCCATCTTCTCATTCCTGACCTAAATAGACTTAGGGGTAAGCCAGGAATCATTTTGAAATAAAACCACAAAGCCTGGTGCCAAGTAAAACCTCTCTTGGTTTTCATATTATGAAGAAATAGTCTTCTTAGAACTATTGGGGGGGGGAGGGATTGAGTCATTGTGATTTGTGAAGAGATTGTCCTCTGGCTCCCCCTCATGAACCAAATCTTTACAAAAGATTGATTTTATTTTCACTTTTGATTCACTCTTTTCAAGAGATTGTAGCAAATACACCAGACTATCAGAGGTGGGTTGCAAAACTCAGGTTTGCAAACGCCACAGTGAAGAGAGATAAAGAAAACTGATGCAGGTCACCAAGATTATAAAGCCTAGGTCTGCTGGCCTTTAAAAAAATCACGGTTGCTTTGAATAAAGCAGCAATTGGCTTTGTTCTGTCGATATGTTAGTCACAAATTATAGGTTTTTAAAAATGGGTGAAAATATTTGTAGTTCAGAGCTGTGGTGTAGAGTCGTTGGTGCTCTCTTGAGCTAAATTGTTTTCTTGCAGACATTTAGCAATAGCAATAGCAGTTACACTTATATACCGCTTCATAGGTCTTTCAGCCCTCTCTAAGCGGTTTACAAAGTCAGCATATTGCCCCCACAGTCTGAGTCCTCATTTCACCCACCTTGGAAGGATGGACGGCTGAGTCAACCTTGAGCCGGTGAGATTTGAACCGTTGAACTGCAGATAACAGTCAACTGAAGCGGCCTGCAGTACTGCACCCTAACCACTGTGCCACCTCGGCTCATTAGTCCAACTACTCAGACATTTCAGTTAGGTCAGATGCAATGTATAGCATCTGCTATCCTTCAACTGTCTAAAAAGGCTAACAGAGTTTCCTCTTTCTATATTGGGACACACCTATAAATTACCAGAAGGACTAAGAGGAAGTTTATTTAGGGATTTTGACTGCACGGAGTATGTTTCATCTTTTTTCCTTCTGGTAGGAGTAGCGCTTTAAAGGTGATACCATTAACTGCAAATATACGTAATACATATATTTATATAACCAATAAACCTCCGCACACAAGAGCCGCTAAATTTTCACGAGTCCTTTCTGTTTCTTGGAAACCAAGTCAAATAAATCCGCGCCCAAGGCTGAGCAAAGTTCGGCTAGCGGGTGCATCTCTAGCGCCGCCGAAGACGGAAAAGTGGCTCGCTGTGCGATGTGGAACCGGGCCAGCCTAACTTTGGGGCGCGGCCACGGAGCCAACAAGAGCGGGCTAGGCTTGCCAAGGGCGTTTCCTACTCCGAAACCGGACAACCCATCTGGCAAACACTTCCTGAAGTTGCGATTGTTTTTGCCCAGGACAAGGCAAACGAGGAAACGCCAAGCCCCACGAACTGGCCGGAGGGAGCGCCGGCGCTCCGGGCTTCTCCGAAGTCCGCAGAATTTAGTTTGGCTGAGTCTGGTTGGTGGGTGGCTTCTGGGGCGTCACCTGCCCTGCGAACTGCGGAGGCAGCCCGGTTGGGCTATGATTCAGCATGCGGGATAAACCGAGATGGCTGCGTTGGGTTGAATCCGAAGGCTGAATATTACCATGTTTTTACGTTGCACGAAACAATACGCCATATTGTTTTGATCCTAGTGGGCGTCAGTACGTCCCCCTGTTATTGTACACCAAATCGCCACCACCCCAAAATAATCAAAATTGGAATTACTGAAGCTCTGTAATGGGTGCGCAAAGCCATTAGGTTTCTAAATGACCGGATTAAAGGTATTGTGTGAACTCGGGTTAATTCAGTTACCAGGTTAAGTAGATGCACCATCTGTTGCATCTACTGTAATCATGTGCACTCTGTTGTAATGTACAATGTATCCCGTATTCCAGCCTTTCCTACATTCCAGAATTCCCATTCATAGACTGGGGATTGCGATAGTTGGAAATCAGCTCATCCAGATTTGGGGCTCCATCATCCACTATAAAACCCTGGATTCATGAGAGCACCCAGTTCCACTACTCAAATCCCCCCAGTTTTGGGAGATCTATATTCTACCCCTGGTTTAAACTCCAGCCATCATTTGCCCCTGCAAGAAAAATTAAGAGATACACAATATACGGACAAATCTCTCTCTACTTTTCATGGCAATGTTTTACTAAGGAGTCTTCTGGTTGCTAGTGTTTCACCTGACCTACCTTGAAGGGACATTGTTGGGATCATAAAATGTTCCTTGAGTTGCACACAGAAGCAGAGTAAAAACCTGGCAGGAATATATTTTCAAAAGAGCTAGCTCACTGATGCACAGCGAGACTCCCTGGAGAAGTCAACATAAATACACATGGTTTTCCTCTGTAAATTGGGGAAAAGATTTGTTCTTACAAACTGCCTCTGCAGCTGTGGAATTTAGCAAACCTGGGAATTGCAAGGGCTTGTATGAGAGGGGGAGAGATTGATTTGTAGATGTAATATTTAATACTTACATTATGAAATATAATTCTGACTGTGGGAACACCCCATCCCCCCAATGAAATATTTTGGGAAATATTTTAAAAGGCAGGATAGAATATTTCCCGCAAATGAGAAAAATCTTAAGGAAGGCAGAAACCAGCCCTACCCCAAGCAGAAATTGAGGAAGCTAGCTTTTAGAAATGCAGATTTGGTAATCCACTCAGAAAGACTGGGTGAAAACAGAAACTCAAATAAGCAACAAAAAAAGGTTAACAAAATTAGCTCAAACGCTTAGGATCTGCACTTCCTCTTTTGCCTACAGAGCCAGCCATGACCCCTACATGGCCCCATAGGAATCCAGAAGGTATAAAAACCCACCCTCTCTCAACTCCATTTTGTCAGCTGTCCCAGAATCACATGTGGTTGGTTCTGCTTCATCAATAAACTGGATTCTTTTTCCAAACAGTCTCCACTTTATTTCCAGCGCCTTTCTCACAGCTTAGAACTGGATCTGGAATTTTTCTTCCAACATGACAATGCAGGTTTTCATAAAATTTCTCATCCATATATTGGAGAATATTGAATAGCTTACCACATCTCTGCAAAAAATAATAATAATCAGAAGTCTGGCAGCACCTTTCCCAGCTCGCCAATTTTATTAAAAAGTATCGTTGTCATAAGCAGTAGTTGACTTTATCTGATGCACAAAAGTGAGCTACAGCTCTCAAAAGCCGATAAATTTGACCATCACTTTTCAGGATTTCATGTTGGTGTCCCATCCAGCGTCCAAGCGGTTCTTAACAGTTACAGAGTTGGAAGGGAGCTTGGAGGTCATCTAGTCCAACCCCCTGCTCACGCAGGACACCTTTACTTAGGAACTCGAACTGCCACCTTTTTGATCGACATAATCAGCGTCTTAGCCACTGAGCCACATAGTGAAAATCTTCCAGTTGAGTTCAGCTCCAAATGCCTTCATGGAGACGCCCCTTAAGCTGTCTCAGCCGCAGCGCAATCGCCGGAAAAGTTTCTGCTGACTTTTCAAGCGAGCCTCCCGCGCCAAGATCTCCAGGTTGTCTTCCTTCCTAACCCCCCCATCCTTGCAAGATCAGGCCAAAAGGCTTCTCCCTCCCTTTCTAACTCTAGGGCTTGCCTGCGTGCGTGATGACGTAGTGAGCGGCAGAGGCGGGGCCGGCTGTTGGCGCTGTCAAGCCGAGCGCGCGGGGGGCGGCGGAGAACACCGAAGAGGCGCTGCCAGGTAACGGGCCGTGAGGGGGGCACTGGGGGCTGAGGCGCTAAGCGGGCTCCCCGAAAGCCACTGGCGCAGAGAAACTATCGGGGCGGCGACGGCTAACGCCGCCCTTCCCGGAGGCCAGGGCGGTCCTACAGGCCGGCGTGTCCTTGAGGCGACGTCGCTCGGGATGGAACGGTGGATGGATGGGCGAGCGGGCAGTCAGTCAGACCCCGCGCGCCTTCTCGACTATCCCGCGCATGCGCCCTCTCTCTCCCCCTCTCTCTCTCGCTCTCTCCCCCCTCCCTCCCCCCACCTTTTTTTTAGTTGGGAGTAATGCCGGCCGGCAGGCTGCCTGGCTGAGTTGGCTTCTTCCGCCTTTGCCCCAACCGGGCCGGACTCCTTTCCCCGGGGCCTCTCAGGTGTGGCAGTTTCTGGGCGGAGGGCTCGGTTAGCCCACCCCCCACCCCTGTCCTTTTATTTTATTTTGAATGAAAGTCACGGGAAGGAGGGGAGGAAGCGGCCAAGCCAGTAATTAAACCTCTTTGAAGTTCCCACTTTGATGAAACAGCAATACTGACAGTGATTTTTGATAGAAAAGTTTTACTATACGCACTTAGTTATCCCTGTGTGGGCTGCAAAATGTGTAGCAGGGACCTTCAGCGGTGTTTTTCAAACTTGGCAACTTTTAAAGGAGGGTATACTTCAACTCCCAGAATTCCCCAGCTGGAAGTTGGAAGCCCACACTTCTTAAAGTTTGGCAGGTTTGAGAAGCACTGATCTACAGGAAAGTCTTGTTTTCTGCCTAGTAGAGATCCAAATATATGCAGTATGAATCTAGGTACTTCTATGCACATTTAAGCACAAACCATAGGCACCCATCCATGTTTGTGGTTAATCTAGTCGTTGATATGAATTGTTATGGATTGTCAGTCCTGGTCTTTGGTGTAGGATGTTGTGGGGATTCAGCAAATTGTGATTTACTCAATAAATTGTGGCCCAGTGAATCAAAATGTAAATTAAACACATCAAACACATCAAAGCCTAACAGATTGGGATAGGTCTGAAATATTGTAAAATAAATAAAATATTTGGCCTTCTCGTAAAGACTGGATATCTGGCTCTCTCCCCCTTCTTCCTTATTTTTAATGTACATATTTGCCATACAAGTGGAGGGAGAAAAGTTCAAGTAACACATTGAAGCATATAAAATGAAGATATTTGGAGGGACAGTAACAATGAAATAATATAAATAGTTGTTTTAAAAGTTTTGATTGGCACCCAAAAACCAGTAAAAGTGGCACTATTTGTAACTTCCTGTGAAGAATATTCTATAATGAATAGCAACAGAATATACCCCCATACATGTTTGAGTCTCAGACTTTTAAATGTGAAGGGCAAATGTTGACCAGGTTAGTAAGAATCAGGGAATTCTTTAAACAAAATAAGTCCCTTGGAACCTAGCCAAATATTATTACTGATTATTACTGATGGATATAAGAGAACCACTTTGGTGTAATGGTAAAAGCAAATTGTGGGTGACTTTGGGCCAGCCACTTTCTTTGAGCTTTAGGAAGGAGGCTATAGTAAACCTCTTCTGAAAATCCTTGCCAAGAAAACTGCAGGCAGTCACCAGGTGTCAACATCGACTTGAAGGCACGCCACAACATCTGTAAATTGAGCCATTCCTGCTAGAACCTAACCACTGTACCATATAGTATTTGTCATTTTGTGCATAACACATTGTGCTCAACTAAAATTAAATTAGCAGAATCTGTACTTCAGCTTCCTGTGGGAACTTATCCATTGTCTTTGTCAGTTGTGTGACTCAGGCCATTGCATTAAAACTATAATATTACTTGTGATATTATATGTTATATGAAGATAGCAATTATGATTCATAAAGGTAGTTTTGTAGTGTTTCATGAACTCAGTCAAAGTGTTGTAAGGGGCCCTAGAAGATAAGAAGTGTGTTAAAGACAATAAAAGGCTGAGCCAATAGCAGATATACTATTAATGTCAGTATATATTAGGCACTTAGTATTTGGTGCATGTTGCAGGAAGAAGATAAAGAGGTAAGCATTGGACATTTGGTTCAGTTACAAGAAGGAGAAATGACAGAAATAGCCAGTGTGGTTACTATACCTCATGGAAAAACAAAGTTACCTCCGTATACAGTTTTCTTTGCCAAGGTCACAGTGTTCAGTTGAGATGCCCTTCCTTGTGTAGTTATAAGGAAGGAAATCTCAACTAATGAGATTTTATCTCACTTAAAATATAGGTTACTGTATGGAAAATTGTAAGTGTCTGTTGTTCCACGTATAAGGTCCTAATTATTAAACTTGCATAGATTCTTATCAGGCTAGATGAAGTCTTGTCAATTGTATTTCTTGTTTTATATTCAGAGCTACTTTAAAATGCTGCTTCTCTTGTCCTTGTGTTGTTCGGTGATCTCTTTACAATAATGATAACGGAAGCTTGCAGTGCCCTTTTATGAGAACTTGGTTCTGGAACCACCAAACCATATGACTGAGCTGCAGATTTCTTGTGTAGTTTTCAAATAAATAGACTTAAATAAATTGTACTGAATGCTTTGTGCTGAGGTAGTTTTTCCAAGTCTCATCATTCTTCCTTTTGTGTAAATACATAATGATCTGCCATCGAGCCAGATCATTTTATTAGTAAAGTAATTCAGATTACTCAGGGATGTATACTATTCACTTTATCAGTTGAATATAATATTGAATATCACTTAGAGACAGTATGCTCTCTCTTTAACTATTCATGACATTTAAACCAGGGCAAAATGAATATTGGTGTTTGTGTATTATAACTAAGTAGATCTCTTTGAAACAAGAGGCTTAAGGAAGTATTATTTGTGTCCTCCAAACATACTTTTTAATACTAAAATGTCATACTACTGTATAAATTGTCTTAAAAGTACCTTAGGATTCTTCATAGTATGTAATCACAGAAAGGACTGTGATTCCCACTTAGCCACAAAAATTCTGAATGGGATGGAAGTCATCAGAATGCTCCTTTTCTTTGTAAAGGGATCTTGAAAATGGTTCAGCTGAGTTAGTGAATGAGAGTTGATTCCTTGCACCCAGCTTTCTGTCACATGTGTAAGAGTATCATCAAGATGTTCAAGAGCATATTATTGTACGTTTATTAAAGACCTCTATCCCAATTGGTCTCATCTATCAATACTGTGTTTGTACATATTTCCTCCATGAAATTAGAAGGATTCATCTTCAGACAAATTATGGAGTAAAATAGTGGTATCAAGATAGAGCAGATGCAAATGTAGCAATCATGTTTTGTATTAATTGTATCCATTCAGATGAATTAGTCAATAACATTGCCTCTTGTTAAAGGGTAATGGCAGGGTAAATTAATTTGACAATTTAATTTGCCAAGAAACTCTCCTTTTTCTTTTTCAAATACTGCTTTAAATAAAGGTTTCCGTTTTCTAATTTCCAGAACAATCATGCTTGATTTGGGTTGCAAAACCAGTAAAATTAGGCTTCCATATGATTATTGAAAATAGGCACATGATAATCATGAGCCTGGAACAGTAGCTTACCTACTAAGAATTAAGATAATGATTTGAAAGCAACTTGTATTGTTTGGATATTGTATATCTATATTTATCAGGGGGGCCCAAGGAAAATAAATATTTAAAATAATCATAAAACTATTATCTCAAGGGAAACTAAAGCATGGCAGTATTCTATAGTTTAATAATTTAAATAGAATCTTTGATTAGTTTTATATTCATGATACACTTAAGAATTAAGTTAAATAGATTGAGAAATGAATAGATAACTGATTTAGCTAAAGCAACGAGTTTCAAAGAATATTTTTATAATAAACTTCATTTAAAATTTTTAAAAGTCAAGTTAAAATCTATCATAAACGACGAACTATTTTAAGTCTAATAAATACTGTATAGTAACTAGAAACAAGTAATTTTTGATAGTTGCACATATGTTTATTAGTTGCACAGTATGTTTATTAGTAGTGACCAGAGTTTTGAATTCAGTTTTAAAATGTGTTCTTTGTAGAATGAAGGAGCACAAACATAATACCTCTTTAAAATAGTTGCAACTTTTCCCAGCATAGGGTACAACTTCAAAACTATTCCGGTGTTTTAAAGATTTTTTAAACAGGTACTATGTTCCTAGTCCCAGATGCACTGAAGCATGATTTTTTAATAGAATTCACATTACTGAAATCAGGATGTAGTGATTACTGACTACAAGGATGAGTGAATCTATATATATAAAAGCCAAATCCACTCACTCATCACGAAATCTCCAGAACTGTAAAGCCTACAAACTTGAAATTTGGCATGTATGTTCCTCTTGGCTTCTAGGTGCTCGCTAAGAAAGATTTTTTTGAAATGACCATCAGATCATTAGTATTTCTTATACAGTATTTTTATATGTAGATTAACACGCCCTGATGCTAAGGAGGTAGACTGAGGGAGAGAAGGGGATAGGATAAGAGAGGATTCTGTGGGGCAAGCCTGTGGGAGAGAAGGGATAGGATAGAAGAGGCTTCTGGGCAAGCCTGAGGGAGAGAAGAAGATAGGAGAGGATCAATGGGGCCAGCTTGAGGGAGAGAAGGGGATAACATAGGAGAGGCCTCTGTGGGACAAGCCTGAGGGAGAGAAGGGGGGAGGGATAAGAGAGGCTTCTGTGAGACCAATCTTAGAGAGAGAAGGGGATAAGATAAGAGAGGTCTCTGTGGGGCCAGCCTGAGGGAGAAAAGGGGGAGAGGAGAGGAGAGGCTTCTGCTGTAAGTGTCAATTTATAGGCCCGATCACATAGTTTCATAGCAGAGCACAGATATCCAGCTAGTAATATAATATATAATACCTGATATTTCCTCTAATAATATGGCCTGTGAGCCATTAAAATATAGACAATAATAAACTTAAGTTATCCTTTAAGGAGTCCTAAGATTGTTACTGTTTTTTTGAATAACTAAACACTATTACTAATTTGAACTGTTTCATGTTGGAATTCTTCAAGCTGCCTTGTATTGTGTGACAGCCATCTCTTAGTAAGGGAAAGTTAGCATTGAAACAGTTATTATTTATTTAGCAGCATTGAAATAGTGAATGGATTCATTGAGAGTTCATGGGGGAAGCCAGGACGAGTGTGAATAGATGGTAGATAGAGAATGCTGTCTGGAAAATATTGTACATGTTCTACAAGTGAAAGCTTTTGGGATAAGGAAACAGCATGAACCAGAGGGATTCTCAATCTGATCCACCATATCTCTTATATTCTCCATGTGAATAGTGAAAGACTCTAAATATAAATCAACATAGTCTTTGTGTTGACTGCTTGATTGATTTAATAATCTATGTACTTTTGTTTAATCCCTGACTCTGTTTTTATTTTTTTTTCCCAACAGGAACCTGTCTGTTGCTGCAGGACAAAAATGTTTCACTTAAGGACTTGTGCTAGTAAGCTAAGGCCATTGACTGCCTCACAGACTATTAAGACAGTTTCTCAAAACAAACCACCACCAGCACCAAGGACGTTTCAGCAGATCAGGTGCTACAGTGCACCTGTTGCTGCTGAGCCATTTTTGAGTGGGACTAGTTCAAATTATGTGGAGGAAATGTACTATGCTTGGTTGGAAAATCCAAAAAGTGTACATAAGGTAAGGCGTAGCCTCCCTAGAATAAAGCTTTTTCTTCTGCCCTTTGGTACTCATGGTTTAAGGCTAAACATTCTCAGGTTAGTAGAGTTGGCCATAGCAGAAGCTCCACCTTGAAGATGATGCTGGAACCTTTCAATTCATTCCAGTTCTACGGAAACATGGTCAACACAGCACAGAATTGATGAGAAAGGCAACATTGGAACAAATTTGTGAAGTTTGTGATCATCTTCCTCTGAAGAATTATTCTCCTAATTTTGTCAAAGATACCAAAAAAGAGCAATTTCCCTTCATTATTATCTGAGGAATCACAAAACATCTGTGGATCTTTGCTTCTGAAGTAATAGAAATGGATTATGGATTGTAGAAAAGCATTTATACTGTTTATATTTTTATATTCTGTACTGTTGTATAATGACTCTATGCTGTTTATACTATTTTATTATTTCAAACCAAATTCAAGAACTAGTGCAAGGTACAGTTTACAAGGGCTGATATTATTTAGCTGTAGCTGGTGCTAACAGTTTTATATGCCACAACATACCAGAGGATAAAACGACCTTATGAGATGCATAGCTGGTCCTATTTTTCTATTGCTTTGTTTGAAAACTATATAATAGAGGACTCATTAGTACTGGTTACTGCTTTGAGGAAGAAATCCTTTGAATTGGGCAGCTAAATGTGGCCATGAGAAAGAATTGGGCTGGAATAGGATATGAAGTCCATAATTCTCAATTGGATTTAATTAGTGATCATTACATATTTGAACTTTGAGTTGCTGTTCGCAGCTCAAGGTAGTTGCAACACCAATAGATTCTCTAAACGTTTCTTAGAGAAAGTAGTCCCTGCCTCATGAGATAAGACAATAAAAACCTGGTGACTTGTTTGAAGGTCAGAGATTTATGGCATAGTAATCAGGTCTGCTGACCATTGTAAAACTGGCTAATTCAACATGCAATTTCCAAGGTTATGACAGAGCAAAAGGGAAATAGAGATAGAGATAGAATTCATGTTAGAGATAGTTCATGGATAAGCATTAACAATAACTTTTGGTCTGAAGCACTTAAATACTATAGACTATTTAGGAGAAATGCAAAATAACACAAACTCAGTTGGCTGATTACATTGACTGATATTGGTCTATTGAAATGTACCTGTATTTTTTCACTGATTCCATACTTCACCAACTGTCACTGAAAAATGAAGCATCATAAAACAATATTGCTACTTACTGGGCATCATAATTTGCATCACTTTTTCCCCCAGAATATACACCATTTATAAACATCCATAACGTGCTGTAGAAATTAAGGTTCCTCTATTCGGTAGGGAAATATTCTGAAAATACAGCTTGGATTCTCCCTCTATTTTTTAGAGTTTCATATTTAAATATAAAAGTTCAGGTCCAAATGTTCTCTTTTGGACTTTATTTTCTGTATAATGAGAAAAATAGAATGGTTTGCAAATAAAATCTGATATACATGTTTCTATGCTACCTAAATTATAGTTTCTAGATTACTTAAAATCATAAAATCAAACCAGGATAAAAAGAGCCACTGTACAATACTATCCACTCAACTAACTAGGTTTCTCATCAAAGAGCAGACCACCCCCCCCCCCATTTGGATGCTTTAAATCAGAATTGCCATAAGACATTACTGAATATGATTGATTCAGTCTGCCTCAAGCAGCCAATAGTGAGGAATGCTGGGATACTTTAAAAAACATATTCCGTAACTCCATTCTAAATGCTCCCTCTCACTTTTTTCCAATAATTAAACACAATTTACTCTATAATTTCATTTGAATCTTTCTCCAATATCTCTTTGCAATAAAAGACTTGTTATATTTTACCCCTTGCCATCCCCCTGTTATTCTTTTGAAAACATCTCTCTCTACTTTCTTTCTATGCTATATATAATATATTCCTTGTTCATTATATTTGGGTAATCATTTTGTTCAGTATAGTATACCTTTTATATCTATGCATTCCTGTAATTATCCTTCCTCTCTGGATTTTTTCTTTTAATGTTTTTAGATCATCTGCATTTTTACATTTGCATATCACAGTCTCTAAAATTATTAGTGGAAAATATTGTCTCTTCCTGTCAGCCCCACTAGATAGACCAGACCAGGATTCAATTCCACAGGCAGACTAAAGCTATTTTTATTGAGATTGGCTGTAATAAAAGAAACTTGCAAGTCTGATTATTCTATTCCACCTCATCCTTTTAGTTCAGCAAATTAAGGAGCAGTCTGTGTAAACTGCTTCAAAATGTTACCTTGTTCTTCAGCCCCTTTTGCTTAGGCAACAGATCCTGCATACATTCATTAAAATCACCTTCCTTCTTTTCTACGCTTCTTCCCTGCGCAACTTAATGATCTCTAGGTAAGAACACGGAAATTTATTCCTAGGAAAGGCCTTTAACCCATGGCATAATCCCAGTCATCTGCTGCAATTGATAGAACCAAGTCTGACAAAGGGCAGTGTTTGTAATATTTTAGACTTAGATAAGCAGAGAGTTACATGTAGCTTCCCATGCTCTCTTCTTTGGCATAGGATGCTGCTTACATCATTCATGGCATATGATACTGCTTTTCAAATCTTTTACAGGCTCTCCAAATCAAATGAAATGCCATTCTATGTTCTATGTGAAGTTTCCGCTGTTCGCCCATGAGGCCAATGTTGAGAAAAGACAGGAGACAAATTTTCTCGGGATGGAGCGACCCAGATGGGAACCTGAGAGCCCCTTTTATTGAGACAGAACAAAGGCAGGAGGAGCAATAACATGTGATAAAAAACAACCTGTAAAAGTACAATTTCTAATCTACTGCTTCAGGAAAGTTCTCTCTATATATGGTCAAATCCTGGACGTCAATGGTAGAGCACATCTCAGAATGTTATGTTATTCACTATCAAGATGTTATGGCTTTCTAGGAGTTTGTTTTCTCCTGTGTGATTCAGCGTGACTCTGCAGGCTCTAGTATGAACTAGGCCATGGAGGACACACACCTACACAAGGAACTATATTACAACAGTTCTACCCTGTTTTTTTCACTTACAGAAGTTCTCCCTACTCTCAAGATAGCTTGGCCAATTTTCATTACCATCTAAGGGGTTTAATACAGGCTATTCCCCATTCTGTGTCACCTAACTCAAAACTCCATGTTTTCTTTATAACATTTGCAAATGCTTTGTTTCCTATCCTTTAAAAAATGGGTAAAATGAAAACTAGAATGGCAGAGGAATTTCAACAAATCTTAAGAGTATTGTTTGCTAGAAGATTTACTAGCCCAGGTTTTTCTCCCTTGGGGCAGAAGGAGGCTATTAGATTTGCTCTGATTGTTTACATGTGAATATTTGGGTTCTTAGCAAAAGATTTGCTGAGGATCCACTTAATAGTTGTTTAGCCTTGCCCTAACTCACCACGTGTCTCTTTTGAGGTAGAGGCCAGGTATTCTAATCTCAGAACAGTTGTTTGCTGAGATCAAGAGGAGGATGGTGGTTGGAGAAATAAGACCTACTTTATCATTGAAAGGAAACTGCCCGACTGTCCTCCCGATCTTTGAATTGAACTATGTAATTGCACTCTTACCTAAAGTAAAAGAAGAATATAACATCTACATGGGGAGGAATCATATAACTTGACCACTGGTTTAACTAATCACTTCTTTGCTAAGCCTGTCAACAGTAAAATGTGATCCAATGCTAATTCCTGAAATTGCTTTATAATTAGCGTTCCACAGATTGCTAGAGTTTATCATCATTGAATATTGAATAGGAGGCTGCAAAAACTAGCCTGGCCAGGGAAATGACTTAGTAGTCCTAAAGAGTTTTATAATTCAGCTGCACTTGTGGGTTTTTGTAGGTTTAATTTGTTTCAGAAGACCAGGAAATGTCTGTAGAAGCAGTTTATTATTCTCTGTTCAGTTTCTATTCATAGTTGCACTATGCTACTATCCTCCACAGAAAGAGAATGGAGGAAAGTAGGATGGTGCTGTTGAACAAATGCAAAATATATATTTTTTTCTCTTGGATTAAGGCAGTCACAAGATTAACAGTAAAATATAGTATAGCTTTTTTAATGGCTTGAGATGTACTTTAGAATAGTGATCATGTAATAATTGTCTGAACTATGAATTATATGTTATATTGTAGGTTTTGTGTTGCTTTCATTTCCTCTGTTCCACTAATATGCACAATATTAATATGCACAAGTGTAGCATTTAGAATCAACAGTATCCCTACAATCATTTCTTTCAACAATTTAGAACTGCTTGAGCCATTGAAGAGAAATAAAGAATTTAGAATGCTCCTTTATAGGAAAAAAAAGCTATATCTGTGCTTGCAGCTTAGGCATTTTTTTTTCTTTTTAAATGTTTCATAAGTTAATTTTCCCTCATATTTTGAATACCTAATAGCAGCATCAGGTATTCAGGGATCAAAAAACTATTTTGGTTTTCTTTATTCTGTGATGCTGAATATTATGAATTTCATCATGCCATATCTTGCATCATGTTAGGTACCAACAGTTGAAGCACTTACATGTTTGCAGTATAAACATGCTTTATAGTAGCTGAGTATTAATAGAAAATATAATTAAGCATTTTGTGCGCTTCCTCTCCTTTGCCCTGTTTATAGCCACTAGTCTTAGTATTGTAAGAATAATTATAAGCTTTCATATTGCTGCATTTGATGTTTCCTAAAGATTTTCTTTTAAATTAAATTCTTAATGAAGTATTGATTAAATAGAGACCATAGTGGAGAGACTATGAAGAAATAGTATTCTTTGTCCTAACCAATGTTTGGTTAGCACAATGCCCTGTCATATGTTGTCACATTTTATGATGGTCAATTGAGTAATTTATTGCAATGGGGTCAAAGTTTCATATCAGGACTTGTGAGTTCATTTGATGTTTCACTGCTTTGAATCTGGCAAAGCAATAAGCGGCAACCTTATCAAAACAAGGAGTACTGAGAACTGTTTTGTCTGGGGTTTTGAAAAGAGAATTCTTTTATGTCATGACAAAGCAAGGGCTAATTATTTATTAGTTATTTTTAATCCTGCTTTATAATTTAACTAAAATTGGCAAACATACCTAATACTATTCCTTTCTCCTATTTTCCTCACAACAGTAATGCTGGGTGGGGAATTGGGTTGAGAGCTTGACTGATCCAATGTCACCTACCAGCTTTCTTGCCTAAGGCAGGACTTGAACTCACAGTCTCCTGGTTTCTAGCCTGGAACCTTAACCACTATACCAGAAATGCATCAACTGGGTCCAAAGCTATGCAGCCCCTTGGGAATCATTTGGAAGAGAACTTTGATCCCAAGAAAAGGTGTAGCTGCTTTAAACCAATGCTTCTCAAACCCAGCTAAATTACACAAAATTGGATAGTGGTGATTTTCTTTTAGGTAAAAACAGGCAAACCTATTAATGGTTTAGCAGAGTAGATGATTCAGCACAAAATGTTGCGAAAAATAAGTATTCAGAGATCTTCTAGTTAACAGTTCACAATTTATATTCTGTGGTGTGGTAGCTGAGGAGACCCTGATGCAATTATTACCCTTTTCAAGCACCTATGTGCATGAAATAGAGCTTCCACTCTTGTCTTCATAAAAACCATAACATGAAACTGTTTTCTGAACCTGAACATGTTTTTGGTAATGAAGGAAAAGTTCAGGAAGCATTCTTTTAAAAAAATTGCAGATTGTTGCCACCTTTTTTATTGTTTATGAATCACATCTGAAGCACTGCACAATCATAACCAGAGTCTGGTTTTCTCCCCAAGATTAATGTTGGTATGTCCTGATTTTGTCTTGAATACAGTAGTTGGGTGATACACAGTTTACATAAAAAAATAAAGCTGAAAATAGTGTCAGTAGGAAAAAATGGGGAATGATACCACTACAGTATGAAATTAGCAGGAATTCATGAGATATCTTTTTCTCTTTTGACATCCAATGAACCTTTTTTTAATAATTGTGTATATGTTTATGGAGATCCTCAGTCATCCAGGCCAGGGTTATTCCAAAGGTGCTTTTTTCAAGAGGCAACTGGACTTTCTGTTTTTTCTTTGAAGACTTTTCGCTTTTCATCCAAGAAGCTTGGATAAGAAGTGAAACGTCTTCAAAGAAAAACCAGAAATTCCAGTTGTCTCTTGAAAAAAGCATCTTTGGAATAACCCTGACCTGGTTGATTGAGGATCTCCATAAAAAGCACCTTCGGGACAATAGTGCATATGATTATCAGATTCCTATATTTATTTTTTGCCCATTTTACATGGATACGACTTGTATAACAGCTAAAGGTAAAAAAGTTCAATAGAGCTTGGCAATATTTAAATTTGAGAAGCAAAGTAACTTTTTTCTTACCTAAATTTCATTTGAGAACCTAATCTTTTTTAATGGGGGAGAATATGAATAAACTATGTCTCTTAGTGTAAAGAAGTGAGATTATTAAAATAATCTGTGTATGAGTTGTTACTATTGTTTCCTAACCAGCACTAACCAGGGCAAAATCCTGTATCATAGAATGGAAAATATATTTCTTATATGTACATGATTAGCAACATTTGGTAACTGCTTTGTGTTTGGTTATTTGTTGATTTCCAAGAACATAATGCTGGTCCTAAGTATAGCTTTTCCATTTAACTTTCGTTCATATATATGTCAGAAGCAAGCCTGAAATTTTTTTCCAGGTGTTTTAAAGTTCCTATTGGAACCTATGAATCTTACTTTCCTTGCTGTGCTCAATTAGCCTTCACAGTTTGATCAGTGCAACAACACTAGAGATGCATTGAACTGTTTTTGGTGTATTCTTGTAAACTCCTGCCCTTCAAATTGGACTAAACAGAGAAAGAGATGTAACTCTTCAGATTTTGATCTTTGTCTATTTCAATCTGTTTATTTTTATTTTCCAGATAGATATCCTTTTTTTCTTCTACAGGTTGTCTTGGACTTAACAACCACTATTGGGACCAGAATTTCTGTTGCAAGGCGGTTGTTAAGTAACTCAGACTGATTTTATGACCTTTTTTCATGGTTATTAATGGAATAACTCCAATAGTTAAGTGAATCTGACTTCCCCGTTGACTTTGCTTGTTGGAATCTGACTGGGATGGTTACAAATTGCAATCATGTGACAGCAGGACACTGCATCCATCATAAATACTGTACATGCCAATTGCCAAGGGCCTAAAATTTGCTCACATGACTGTGGGGATGCTGCAGTAGTTGTGAGTGGGAGGACCAGTTATAAGTCACTTTTTTCAATACTGTTGTAATGTCAATCAATCACTAAAGGAATAGTTGTAAGTCAAAGACTATCGTTGATATGCTCTACAAATCTTATATGAAATGAATTAAGGGGAGACAGTAAGACTCTGGCTTCTAACTACATTTTGGGTAGTACTACTATAGAAGTTATAGAAATTTGATTTTGTTAAAATAGATATAAGTTGTTTGGAGAAGTAATTCCCTATAAAATGGACTTTTATTTTTATTTGCTTTAGTCATGGGACATATTCTTTCGCAATGCCAATGCTGGAGCTGCTCCAGGTACCGCTTACCAAAGCCCCCCTCTATTAAATACCAGCCTATCAACCCTGGCACAGTCTCTGGTTCAAGCACAGCCAAATGTAGATAAGCTGGTGGAAGATCATCTTGCAGTCCAATCACTTATCAGGGCATATCAGGTAAGGGTGTGGGTTTTCTTTTTTTTTAATGGTTTATTTTTAAATTTTATGTGTGGTAACTAATTATTGTTTCAGATGTAAGATTTAAACTTAAATAGAATGAAGCATTTTTGGTCAACTTGCTTTACTTTTTATTCCAATCACTGAACCAGAGGTATAACAAATGAAACAAACCAAAACATGAGCAAGATAACTGATGCTTGGTTGTGTGTCTTGTTTTACAAACAGTAGAGCAAAATTTGCACACTCCTAGAAACTGAATCACACTGTCCTGATAATAGCATCTGTACATAGAATAATCTGAATTGCTTCAGATTGTTTTGTAAAATAGAGAATAATAAGGAGGGCATTTGCATCCTTATAGAAATGCAGTATAGCAGGATTTAGTCTTAGTTCATATTCGAGTGGTTTTTAAAAAAAAATAACAATAACAATAGCACTTAGACTTATATATCACTTCACAGTGCTTTACAGCTTTCTCTAAGCGGTTTAAAGTCAGCATATTGTCCCCAACAATCTGGGTCCTCATTTTACCCACCTCAGAAGGATGGAAGGCTGAGTCAAATATGATCATTGGACTAATTCTTGGTCTTATTGACATTTCTTACTTCATTTCGGGTATTTTTTAGTATTGTTGTGCAAATAAAATTGCTAAGAACTTAGGAGATTCCTACAATATTTTTAAAAAATTGAACAGGATTCCAAGATTTGAAAAGTTATTTAATTGCATATTATTGTATTCAAAGCTTTTTCAAAGCCTTTTTTCCTCCCTTGATTTAAAACTGGTTTTTGTTACTTCATTTTTCCTACTCTATATTCTCCTTGAGATGGATCAAAAAGCATTAATTGAAAATGTGTAACAGCTTCATATTTCAGAAAATTGCCTACTTAAGAATATGATTTCTGTCATTATATTGTTCACATTTTAAAATCAAATAGCTGCTGTGGTAAATTGCTTTATTCACACATATGTGTTTTATTTTATACAGTAATACTAGTCATAAAAAGATTCATTGACTAGAAGAACGGACCTGAACTTTTGAGACTTATCACTTACAGTGCTTCAGAAAAAAAAAAGTCAGATGAAACAGCTTTTTCAATATGCAATTTTATGCAGTGCCTTTATGCAGCATTTAATCTGTGTAATTAACCTAATTGACTTGTTACAATGGGCAGGAGTAAAAAAAAAAAAGGAACTTAATAGAGTAGTGATAATCTGACTGGGTAAATCTTCTGCCCTTGAGACCATCTGGCATAGTCTCTTAATCCCAGATGGGACATTCCATTGTTGTCAAGAATCAGGTATATGGAGCCCTGTTCCATAAGCATCTTTTAGAAACAATTTTTCCTTATAACAAAATTAAGTTTTGCTTTGAGGTAGCACAGTTTGAAAGATATACCTTCAGTGAAATTCTATAAAAATATATGAATAATAAGAACATTATTCTTATTTATAAAACTAAAAGGAAAATAATAATTTTGTTGTGGTTAAAATTGTTCATTGTGGATCAGGTAAGCTAGCTACCATACTTAGTCATATTTCTAGATATAACATTGATTTTTGAATCTGCATCCTGGTCCTGCCACTCAAATTGCATTGCCCAAATTGTTTTTTATGAGAACAGTTACATGAGACCTTTTATTATTACAAAGAGAGAGGTGACAGGATTTTCTTTAGTTTATACAAAAGATTTCTAGTTAAAATATTGTACATAAATATAGGGAAAAATACCTTAGCAGGATCAGTTCCAGAGAAATCATTATGTCTTAATAAGATATGTTCTACCCTTGCTAGACTAAGAAGTATGTACACAAATAAAGAAATTACAATACATCACCCAAGATTTTATCTATTCACATTCTTCACATTTCTATCAGTTACACAGACAGTGTTAAAAATCCAGTCACTTGTGGCTTCATCTCTGTTGTTATTTTCCAACATTAGAATCAATAAACCCAGTAAACAGGAGAATTAGAATTAAATTGTGCTAATGTAAATTACATTCTCTGTACAACTGTCTCAGAATAAACTTGTAATCATTGGCTACAGAAATTGTTTTTCTGTTTTCCAAATGAGCATTGTTATAATGAGCCATGAATGTCCATTATTGTGGTGAGCTTTTATTAGTCTATTTCCTATGTTAAAAATAATAATTATTTTGCTGCCTAACAATAATATTCATAACATCAAGTATATTGATTAGGATTGGCATCATTTCACAAAATATGATAGTGAATAACCCTATAATTAACATTTAAATATTTGTTGCGGACAAATCAATGTGATACTCAAATAGTAGATTGAATGAAATAAGGAGCAAAGATCTCCATTTTGCAATACTGTCTAAACATCTTATTTCAACAGATCTTAAACTAAGGCTTATTCAATAAAGAATAATATTTTGGATTTATTGGACTTAATTGCATTGTATTAAAATGGAATTTATTGTATTGTTGGTGATGCAATGAGAATGTTTCCCTCAAACATATTTTCCCTTGTGTTTCTTTTTAGTTTTTTTTCTGTGAAGAAGTCTATCTCTCTTTCTCTTTTTGTGTGTGCATGTCTGTATTCAGATGTCCACATCCATTTGGGCTATGTATCTATATATAGAAATTAGCCACTGGACAAAAGAAATTGATTTCCCAAGTCCTTCCTATTTCTAAGGGAATTGGTCTTCAACCAATCTTTCCAACTGGAAAGATAAATTTATGGCCCCAATTACTTAGTGGTCTGAAGACTTGATACTATTTGCAACTTACAAATGTGTTGCTTTTAGCAATAAACTGTATGTCAATTATTTAGTTCTAATTATAATTTATGTTATAATTTCATGAAACTTTTGTATAAAATTGTATATGTACATGTACATGTATATATCCTTTTATATGTTTTTTTCTTTTTTTCTTTTTTCAGTTTAAATAAACGAAGGGAAATTTTAAAGTACTGTCACAAGATGTTTACTAAATACATCAAATTTTCTTACTTTAAGAAAAAAATACTTTTGTATATAAATGTAAGATAGTTTTTCATAAATTCATAATTCTGTTGAAATACAACAGCCTGGATTTGGATAAATTCAATATTCCTGCAATGGGGAGGATGATTGTTTCCTAATTTCGTGACTAATTTTGTTGTTGTTTCTAGGTCAGGGGTCACCACATTGCCAAGCTTGATCCTCTCGGCATTAGTTGTGTAAATTTTGATGATTCGACAGTAACTGATTCGCCAAACATTGGTGAGAATTATTCTGCAAGTTGAATGCAACGTTTAACTTTTATACCCCTTTCCTTTCCATCTCTCCCCCCCTCCCCCATTCCCTCTTTTGGTTTCCACTATCCTCTTCATTTCTGGCCCATTTCATAGATTCGAGGGCATCATGTAGCCCAGCTCGATCCATTGGGCATCTTGGATGCTGATCTGGACTCTTCCGTTCCAGCTGATATTATCACTTCCGCAGACAAACTGGGTGAGGGCTCCCAAAAGCAGCTAGTGCCGCATCGCTTGGGCTCCTCTCTCACTTTCACAGCTTCTAGATAGATTGCTTCACTAAATTTGAAGGGAAAAGTCTTAAGTTTCCTTTCTAATGATCACTTTTTTAAAAAAAGGAATGTTGGCAGCGTTTATCTGTCCCTAGTCACTTACCACTGTAGCCTCAAATAATTACATCCCCAGTTCGAGACTGCTTGCAGTCTCCTCTTTACAGTCCTTGTGATTTGGAGTCCAGCTATAAGAAGGTGTGACTAGCAACTGTGAATATTCTGCCACTCCAAGAAAATGAGTGTATTAGAGTGACGGACACATAAGCATCCCTTAAACTGAAAGTATTCTAAAGGTCAACAGAGCTCTTCTTTAGAGCTCTGGTGACTTCTTGGAGCTTGGTACTGATGGCTATTATAGGAAGGAGTGGGGAAAGAGACAAGTTTCCCTCATGTCGTTCTCACTCACTTCAGGTCAGTGCATGATTTAGGGCATGCTGCATAGCTAAGGAAATACATAGACACAATTTCAACTTTGACTAATGACTCCATCAGTGATCATGATAAGGAAGCTTTGGAATGCATTCCCACATCTAATCAAAATACTGAAAAGAAACAGATCCTTGGCTGGAGAGGTGCATGTGTGGTTCTCAGGTGAAGGTGCACTTGCTGAGCAATACTTGGAATTTGGTTTTCCAGTGGAGCTCACTGTGTTTGTTAATTTTGGCCACTATTTTTTCCTTCAGTATAGGGCAAGATGTGGTGGCTGAGCATTACTGATTGCTGGTGCTTTCCACAGGTTAATCAATCTGGCTCTGCAAATGCTTCTGAGTAGCATGCTTCTAACTTAGAATAGAGTAACAATAATGACAACTAACCCCTTTCAAGACTAAATTTTGATTAGAGTATTTGTGCATGTAAAATAAATGATGTGACTCATTCAGAATTGACAGTGTGTACTGATTAGATGGTGTATGTGTGTATCTGTGAAATGGAAAGCATCTGAGAAAATCAGAGTTGGTTGAAAGATGAGATACTATACAAATATTTTAAATAAATACAATTAAATAAAACAGCAATATAACTTTGGTGAATATCTAAGAACACATTGAGCGCAGTTTGCTTTACTAAATCTCCATTCTGAAGTTATTGCCCCCGGTACATTAAGCAGAACTCCAAAATCCAGAAGGTTGTACCAGGCCTTAACCAGATCCCCAATGTTGGGGGAAGGGGGTATACTGTGGAATTCCTTCCACATTTCACAATGATTTAAGATTCACCTTAGGCAGGCATAACTATTTTGAGTGCACTGGAATGATAGTGGCTTCTGAATTGTATGTGTGTGCGCGTGTGTATGTGTATGTAATGGGCATTTCAAGTAGTTTCATCTGTGCATTATCTTTGTCTTCTGTCAGATCTACTGAATGGTTCAAATTGTTACATTAATATTTTATTAGAATGTAGAAATTATAATTTTTCTGAATAAAAATTAAACAATATAGGAGATGATTTTTAAAAATGTAAGGATTATGTTTTATTTATTTTACCAGTGTATTATATAAATTCAACACCATATTGATCAACATTGCTTTTGTTATAACAGCTATAATAACAGAATCTTGCAAACCTGAATATAGTTCCCCCTCCATCTCTTTATCCCCATATGAACTAGGGAAGGACTTCTCTTAGTCGTTTTCTCAATTTCTTGACCAGGCTCACATCATTGTTGCCTTGAAAGCAATTCTTCATCCTGTCTTCAAAGCCATTCTCCATCTAGGTGGAGATAGCATCCAAGAATAAATTGAACAAGTCTGCTCGCTGACTGGACTGAGTCTGTCAAAGCTGTTAGGACACTCCCCTGTTGCTAGGGCTTCCCAGTTTTTGACTCAGTCTCTCAGCGAGGACAGTTGTGTCTAACCACCTCCCTTCGAGAATTCCTGGATGCACATCAAATTAATCATTTATTTGTGAGTAACTGATCCAGATGACTCCCTCTCCTAGGTAGAGTCGCTGGGATTGCCTTTGGAGGTGGCAGCTTCGGCTCAAGCTTCTGAAGGAGCTGATCTTCTTGTCAGCAAAAAACATGACAGTTGGGCTCCATTTTGAAAGACTGGAGTTCGCGTGTTTTTAGACTGTATTGCAGCCATCTTGTATAGCCATGGCTTTGCACTTGGCTCCTGTCAAATTTGCAGGCTTTTACAATAGCAGAGTTTCCAATAGACACTTTGCTTGAATCCATATGCACACATTCAGACCAGCAAAACTGCATGAGTGGTGGATGCCATTCATAATTGGTAGTTGATAGATATATACTTTAGTTCAGGAAGATTTAGATAAGGGTTGCTCTTGTCTCTCTAACTTTCAAACAGCTACTATTGTTTATTGAAGAGATGCGCAATGTCTTTGAAACTATTATCCTGGTCAACAGTTTTAGAATGAAGCTAAGTTTGTATTATCTACAAACAATAGACAAAATCATGTTCATATTAAGTGTTTCACCTTTGACCCCTTTTCACACTTTATTTTCATTTTAATCTGAAAGAGCATTGTCTAGCCAGAAAACCTTCCAGATATATGGATTTCCACTTCTAGAATTCTCCAGGCAGTGTAGTGATTGTACGGGATTCTATGAATCAAATTCCAACATATATGTAGAATGCCAAACTGAGGATAAAGTAGTCTGTAACTTCAGAACAAATCAGAACCTCTTAAAACAAGGTTAATGTAATCGTCCCTGCTCTTACCATATGTAATGGATTGAGAATTGAAGTGATACTTGGGAGAATGTGAGGAAGACAGACATCTCATAGCCAAGGAAGCAGGAAGACCCAGAGGCCTCTGAAGTTTTCTGCTTCTAAATGGGGGATTTAAGACTTTGGGACCGTACCACAAAAACTAAGATTCTAAATGTGACATATAATCTTTTTGATGAATCATAATTTCAGGTTCACCACTTTATAAAGATTATTTTATTCCCATGACACGTGCTTTGGGAGAGTTATTCTTAGGAAACTCCTAATTGCCCCATCTTTTAAAATCTCAATAATATTAATTTAAAAGGGGTTTCAGGACTTCAACTTTTTTGTTTGTTCTGTTAGACAATGCAGAACACATAATACTGCGAATCATCCAGAACTTCTAAGATTCCATATACACTTATTCAAAAACCACATAATTAGCTGAATTATTTGGAACTGAAATGACATATCTCCAGCATAGTGGTGAAAAGTCAATGGCAGGATGAGATATGCATTGGACAAAAAGCAAGTTTTATGCAACACCATATCCTTTTCTTAAAAATGTAATAGGATTTTTGCCCTAATCTGCAGACCAGTTAGACACCAAGAGCAAAATAAAAGCTCATCCTAACAACTTATATATCCTATATCTGATATTAAAGTTTACAAACCTAGTCGCTGTTGAATCTTTTCATCTATTCATTTGTCCAGCAATTTTTAAATGCAGATTTGCAGAATTCAAAACATTTTGTGGGGGGGAAAGAATTCTACTGTGTGTATTATCAAGACATCCAAGTGTATTATATTTGCGGGCTACATGCAATAAAATTATTGTTGAAGATCTTGTCTGACAGAATTGAATTCTCTCTTGTGCAGTAACAATTTGGAGAGTAATAATTCTGTCTATTTATAGAGTCAAAGGTATAAACTTGTTTTCAGTTGAACTGTTTCTCACTTATATAAACAAATTATAAATAAGAATAGGAAAACTAGAATTGTCCTTGCGTAGATTGTTGACTTAAGATTCAGGTACATAAACAAGACTGTAACTTTTCCTAATCTTTGTTACTTTTCAGTTCAATTCTATAGCACAGGATATAGTAGCATAAAGTGTGTGAATCCCATGCTGTCTTTTTCCTTGTCAGTGCAGTGATTTACAAAATCTTAAATCCTAACAGTCTCATGTAGAAGGGGTATTAGATTCTGTCATACTTGTTCACTTGTGATTTTTCACCGGGAACTTGTCCTAACGATATTTAACAACTTTAATGTTTAGGATTTTTTTTCCCTATTTGCATAAGCAATGAAGTCCAAAACATGTAACTTAACTGCCATTATCTGTCAGGTGTAACTGCTGTGCTTATTTTATTCTCTTTGCGGTGAATATGGCTGGTTCTGAAAGATTCTTCAGATTTTCTCCTGGCATACAGTCATCTAACTCCCTTTTCTTTGGTGATTTTTTTTATTGTGTATGTGCGGATGCTGTTTTTAAAAGCTTTCTTTCTCTTTTTGCAACTACTTTCTCAGTTCTTTGGAATTTAAAAAGAAACTAACTTTGACTCAGTTTCTCTGTCTTCTCCTTTCTGCACCCAACCTTTCCCTCCCTCCCCAGATCTTGCTGCATTCAAGGAGCGGCTGAGAGTGCTAACAGTAGGAGGTATGCAAATAATGAGCGTTTAACCCTTCTGGAGTTTAGGACTCTCTGAATAGTTGACTCTGGGCATGTACAGTGTAGGTAAAGTTACAACTTGCCCCATTTTACAGCAGTGTTTTTGGTCTTTTGTCTTTTCCGTCAGAATCGCTTTCAATGTTAACAGTCGGAGACGTGTGTGTTATCAAAGCGCTTCATCAGTTACGCTCGTCAGTTATGTTCTCTCCCATTGAGTTCAATTTGGTAGCTATTTTCTCTTTATTTGCTTTCTGTTTGCTTGTTTGGAATAGTACAGAAAGCTTTGTTGGGCTTTAACACATTGGCCTCTGTTGAAATGTAATTGTTAATTGGATGTTCATCAGAACACATATTATACTGGTTGAGGTATATTCATTGACTTTTGTGTTGTTTTGTGCAAAAAGTTCTTTGTGAATAGTGGAATTTAGGGTGTGAGTTGTTCACAACTGCATCTGCATTGCTAAAAGAAAAATGAAGTGCCATCTTTTCATAAGCTTGCTCTGGTTTTTTGCAGAATAGCTGAGCACTTTAATCGCAAACTTCTAGCTGAAAATGTGTAGTTTTTAATCTAATGATTGAAAGGAACAACATCGATTTATAATGTAAATGCAGTTCAGCAGTTTGTCTGAGTGTCTTATTGCAATGGTATGTTTTGACATGCTGAAGGGTTTTGAGAAAATTCTCCATCATTTGTGCAAATTTGATGCCTACAATAAACAACTCTTCCAATCACATTTCCCAAGATATATAATTGTGTTTTAGCTTAAGAATGAGAATGACTTTTGGCTTTGTTTTTCAATTCAAGGTTTTTATTTTTTATTACAAATTTTGACATATTTTATAAACAAAGTGTTGCCCTGGTCTTTTCTTTTACATCTTCTCATACATAATCCATTTTATATCATAGTTCTGTTTCCAATTTCAGACATATTATTCTGTTTCCATATTTTTTATCTTAAACTTATTTTCTTCTTAGTACATAGACAATATCACTAACTGCCCCTTCAAGGTTAAACCAAATTATCATTTCACATTTCATCTGTTGGATTCATCTATAAGCAACATACATCCTCAAATTCAGTTTTTACATAGAGAACATTTACCTTAATTAATTAACCACAATTAGCAATGTTACTATAATCCCCTTATGTCTTAATTGAATACATACCATTAACAATATTAATACAATTCCCTTTAATCTACTAATATGTTCCTTCTTTCGCGGAGTTCATTGGAGCCCGCTATTTTCCAACCGGTCTCACCATGAGGCTTCCAGTTGTTCGACTTTTGGGTTTTTTCAGGCCAATTATCTACAATATAATTATTACAGTAGATATCTATCTCATCTTTTATTTAAGAGTCCTAAGTAGCTGAATGTAGATTTGGACCCAAAATGTCTATTGTAAAAACAAGCCATTCTCTACTTAAGGTGCTAAATTAACCAGCCAAACATTGCTTCTATACAGTATAGTTATTACATTGGTCTCCTATTTTCTTTGCCATCATTCAACATCATTGATGGCCAATGATTTGTATACCAGAATGAACATTGTGTGTCAAACAATATTAAAACAAGAATGGAGTGTCTTTTCTTCGTGATAGCCCTATTTTTCTTTTTGATCTGTTTCAAAGAGTTTGTAATCTTGTTAAAATGAGAAGAATGGAATTGCCTCAGGCATTGAGGTCCATTATGTCCTGTTGCATCTGATGCATGGTTGATAGAAATCTAGAGGGAAAAGTCTTCTTGATATAACAATCAAGTTATGGAATTTGCTGTCCAGGAGTTATATATCACTTCCAGCAATCCAGTAGCTTTACTAGCCTTCTTCTGGTTGTTAATTATCTCCTATCAGGAATTCCGCATTTATATGATTTTGGCCTTTTATACAACTGAGGATCTTCTTTCTAGTTTCTTTTGTGTTTTGTGATAATTTAGTTACTCTGTTAGATTTATTTATCTTTCATAGCTTAGCATTTAGTTGAAGGGAAGGTGAGGGATAATTTTAAAACTTGTCTATGGTAGTTGCCTGTTCTCATTAGGCTGCAATACAGAATTGGCACTTCTGAATATTTCCATTTTTGTCATCTTTCTGATCATCAATTGCAGAACAATTTTTAAGTATCAGCAGCTGATGCAAAAATATGTTAATGTTAGTCCTGTTATGGTCTAGCTACACAATACATATGTAGCCAGTGTGGGAAGGAATGTTTGGTAATAGCTCTTCAATACTTTCAAGATTTCTAGAAGTCGAAGTGTTTGTGAGGCTTGCAGAAAGTTTTGTCTTCATAGAGACAATTTCAATATAAAATCCTTGTTCCTTGTAGTGAGCTATTCAGGAGAGTCCTCTGCAGAACCCTGTATCATCCTGAGGCTTTTCATACTTTTGGTTCTGGGAAATTGGTCCTTTAACTCTTCATTTCCTGCTTCATTTTTTTTTTAATTTTGAATATGTGGTGGAATGTGGTGGCACTATGTGTTTGCTGTACTTGTACCCCTTATGTTCTACAAATGTATGTGTGGAGGTCTAAATTTCATGTTAATCATTTCCCTGGGTTTAATTACCAATTTTTCATGGCAAGTATATTTCTTACGTTCATATGCTGCGTGACTTTTATACTTCTTTTGTTCTCACTTTACCTGTCCAATATTTTAATTCCTGCTTATGTTTTGTTCATACAAACCTCCTTCATGCTTACTTTGTGCTGCTTTTCTTGCCCCTCCCCCGTCTCTACCAAAAACCTGGTTCCTGTGTAATGACTGTCTTGAACTGAACACCTTCCCCAATCCTCCTTTGCCTTCTGCTACCTATACAAAATCCTGCAGGGTTTTATGGCCTACATGAATCGGACCTCGACAAAGTCTTTCACTTGCCAACTACGACTTTCATTGGAGGAAATGAATCCGCTCTTCCACTTCGGGAAATCATCCGCCGTTTGGAGGTAAGAAAGCCAGCTAAACGTTTTTGGGATCATGTGGATGTAAACCATCCAGTAAAATAACCAAGAATCAGGCAATAATAATAAGGAATAATTTTCTAGTAACTAGAAAATCAAAAGAATATGCCAGCACTGCAATCTTACACATAATATAGGAGGAAGATTGGTCTGTAGGGTGGATATCATCAGACCTACCATAGAGAAGACCTGCAAAGTTTGATATATGAACAAAAGAATATTTTAGCTTATGGAAACATGTATAATCATATCATGCATAATCTTAAATCTATGAATCTATTTTCATGAAATAAATTTTAGGCTACTTGATATCCATTATCAAATTAGGTAGCCATGTTTGTACAACATTCTGCTGCATAATTAACTATGGTTTATCAAATGATCGCAATTGCCTGAATTCCTGAACACTGAACTATAAATGGGCTGAACTAACTGGCTTTCCTATTGCTCTGAAATACAAATAGCCAAGACCCATTTTAGCCCTCAAGTTGTGCAAGCCCAGTCACTATTTTAGAAATCTGTAAAATAAAAACTATAACGTGGTTTCCCCATGCCCTCAAAAACAATCAGGAAAGAACAAAGCTGTTCTAGTGAGCTCTCTATTCTAAAAAAGGGTGCATTGTGGGGAAAATGCTCACATATGAAAGTTTAAAATGGTCATTTCCAAAGGAAGCACTTTTCTTCCTTTGTTTCCTGGCAGTCACATAATTTCCTTTGACAAGAATGGGTGACTCTGCTAAAAAAAAAACCCCAAAGCTGTTGCTGACTAAAAAAAAAAACTGAAAAAAAGAAGGAAATGGAATTGGAAAGCAAAAAAAAAAAAAAAAACAGTATCTCAAGGTCTTTTTAACTCCTTTAATGATTCTGCTATAATTGCCTTCTGTAGAAACAAAACTTCAGCTACCTCACTCGCAGTGCCTTTTCCCTGGCCCATTTATTCTAGGTTTTTGTTCTCCCCTTCCCGATAAGCCAGCTTCTAATTTCTATCTTTTATTAAGTAGCAGTACTTTTTGTTGAAGGGAATGTTTCTCTGTCCCCTGCTCATGTTCTTGGCGTCACGACTCTGGCTAAAAATAATTTCCAGCAAGGTTATTTAAATGCCATTTCTTGCCAAACATTTTCTGTTTCTCTGTTTGTTGTCCCTCTACTCCACCCCTCCCTGGCACAGTATTTTCCATTACCTGGAGTGTAAATTCAGTGGTTTTCAAATTCCTGACTTCAAGAAACACTTTGCACCTAGATTTATCTTTCTTTGATTTTAGCAAGTATTCAGATTATAGAGTGCACTGGACAACAGAACCGTGCTTGCTTTGAAAATGATTAAAAAGAGGTGCTTTGGAAAATATGGAAATATTACACCTTTTTAAAGCAACTACAACTTTTTTCCAGATTCCTCATAAGCTTGAAAACAGAGCAGGCCGTTCTCATTAAAGTGCAACTTCTTTAATAAGTTAGCCCCTTAAAGCAACCAAGTTGTTTTCAGGCAATTTTTAGCTAGAAGGCTAAAGAAAAAGAAACACATTGCTCTTTTTAAAGAAATGCCACAGCCATCTCCTGCACATTTCAAACCATTTCTTTTTGCCAGTGTCTCTTGTAAACCAGACCCCTTCCAAAGCATATCAATGTTTCCGTGCAGCAGCATATTGCATACGTAAATCCAAAACTAACAATATTTTCCCAGGAAAAATTGACTGCTACATCTGATCTTTTCACTTAGTGGATCCCCTGATGTCCACTGTTAATTGAAGATCTTGGAAATAACTTAACTTTTCATTTTATAACTAAATGTAACTTTCTGGTTTATAATTGAACAGAATTGTTCAAACAGTCTTTGGTTGCCAGATCTTGATTATTTACATTTTTTTAAAAATAATATATTGTCTAACTAGTGCATAATTTGTTGGATTTGATTTGTGAGCACTTGGACTGAAATCCTAGTTTATCCGAAACTCCATTAACTGGCTTAGACTTTTTGTATTGATTTAATCATCACAGTATTAGCTTGGTTTTCAGAAAGAGAAAAACTTACGAATAAGATTAAGACATAGCTCATATAAAGTAAGCTTTTAATTTGTGCTTGGAAATGGTTGGATATTCTGCTCCAACTTGCATCTTTCCTTTCTTTAACAGATGGCTTACTGTCAGCACATTGGAGTAGAATTTATGTTTATTAATGATCTTGAGCAATGTCAGTGGATAAGGCAGAAATTTGAAACGCCTGGTATCATGCAATTCTCCAGTGAGGAGAAGCGCACCCTGCTGGCCAGACTTGTGCGTTCAACCAGGTATTTCTTTTTCATTAACTTGGATAACTGCCATTGGTTGGAGTTACAGGTATCAGTAGTAGAAGAATTAGATTCAGTTTTAAGCTTTCCTAGTTCATATTTCATAGACACAAGGACATAACAATTTCAGTAAATTGAGATGTAAATGTTCCACCCTAGCTATATTTATAACCCCACAAAGTGTCAGTAGTGACATTTGTGAAAGCTTGTATCTCATGGAAAACGTTCTCCATATATGTTTAGACTGCAGTTTCCATCACTAGAAGTCTTTAAGAAGATGTTGGATAGCCATTTGTCTGAAACAGTATAGGGTTTCCTGCCTAGGCAGGGGGTTGGACTAGAAGACCTCCAAGATCCCTTCCAACTCTGCTATTGTATTGTATTGTATCACTCTTGAAACAGTGGCTAATCTTTCAATTGGCAATAAAAAATTTCTCTTACATAATGAGCAAAGATGGGAAACTGTTGGGAAACTGCCATCTAGGATGGAAAGAGGGGTCAAGCGAGAGCCTAGCTTGGAGTCATTGTACAGCCGCAAGTGCCTAAATCTTGACCTCTTCCAAGATCCATGAAGCCTATCTGGTCATTCCAGAATAAGGGAAGCAGTCTGGTAAGATTCTTGTAATGTGTAGCAAACAATAAAGTTACTGACTTTGGCTATTCATGAGAGACCATAGTTATCTGCACCTGACAGTAACAGGATTTGTTGAAGTAGTCATCTAGACCAACATGCATTCAGGAGAGCAAATGGTGATTAGTTTTTCTCCTGATAGGTGACACTTGGGGCGGGGGCAGGAGGAACGAAAGCAGAGTATACACTAATCAATGTCTTCAAGTTACTACGCATTTCATTCGGTAACGGCAGCAACACTTCCCAGCCTCACTCCTGAGATGCAATAAGATAGACTGTAAGAGCCGTACGATTTACATCCACATATTCTCTTCACAAGGACAGGAGGGACGCACATTGGCTATGGCTTTACAGAAGAGCCCGGACACTCATACAGATTACGTGACAAATGTCTTTAAACAACATTTCTGTTTTCCAGGTTTGAGGAGTTCCTGCACAGAAAGTGGTCTTCTGAGAAACGGTTTGGTTTGGAAGGCTGTGAGGTTCTGATTCCTGCTTTAAAGACAATAATTGACAAGTCAAGTGAGAAAGGAGTGGATTATGTTATCATGGGAATGCCTCACAGGTAAAGTTGTCCTTGGAGGAAACTCTTTGAAGACAGAGAAGCTGTCAAGAGAGTGTATGCCGAATTTCAACCTGCCCTTCAGTCAAAACATTCTGAGCTATATTCTTCCTGTCATTCATTTTTATGATTTTGCTCTTTGTTTAGTCCCAAAGGCCCACTTTTTTCAAATGTTGATAGGACATAGGGTAAAGAGGTATACAAAGTAGTAATTGAAACCTTATTTAAGTGAAATTTGATTTAATGTATTAATCAAAATTATTATTTCTCCTACAGCAGACAATGTATTCCATGTAGTATCTGATTAAATATGATTTTGGTTTTCTAGAGGGCGCCTGAATGTTCTTGCCAATGTTATCAGAAAGGAGTTGGAGCAAATTTTCTGCCAGTTTGATTCTAAGCTAGAAGCTGCAGATGAAGTGAGTTCAACTTTTAGTGGGGTTATATATTTTATTTGGCAGGAACTTTCTTCGTATTAGTTAATAACAACTGTATAGTTGTACCTCAGTACTCATCGTTAATAGGTTCCAGGAGGTGCAATGAGTACCAAAAATGATGAGTACGAAAAAAAATTTCCCATAAAAAATAATACAGCGAGTCACAAGGCAGCTGACACCGACAAATTCTAGCTTGTGCATTGAGTACCAAACAAATAATGAGTACTGGGACAAAATGTTCACATCAAAATGCATTGAGTACCAAATTTGATGAGTTTCAAAGCAGTTGAGTACCAGGGGACCACTGTATTTAGTTTTAAACACAGGACAACATCTGTATCCGCCACTGAAACAAGTCGAGTGTGACCTCAACAATGTGCCCTAACACTTTTCCAGTTCTTCAGTTTTCCCGTTGTTTTCAAGATTGCTCTTGAATGTTTGGGATGAGGTTCCCATGGCTTTAAAAGTGTTTTCATGTCAGCTTGAGCTTAAGGGGTGAATCCTGAAACCATCTCAGATAACTTAAAGAATCAGCTGGGTGCAAAAATATGAAAATGTGTGATTCCTGGCAGTAAATACTATGCCATTCATAGACTGAGTAACAGTTCTTCTACTTTGCATCTTAATTCAGCTAGATTTAGTCTGATAAATCCTATCAATATTATACAAAGTGAATACCTCTATCAGGAATTCAAATACGACTACTGTCTTAATTCCGATTAAGTATTTGTGAACGTATTTTGGATATGTGCTCATTTTCTTCTAAATTGCAAAGTAGCCATTTTGAAGCTCTAAAAATACACAAAAAAAGAATGCATCTGCCTAATAATACTCTCTTTTCTCAGGGCTCAGGGGATGTAAAGTACCATTTGGGAATGTATCACCGAAGGATTAACCGTGTCACTGACAGGACCATCACTCTTTCACTGGTTGCAAATCCTTCTCATTTGGAGGCTGCTGATCCTGTTGTTCAGGGCAAAACAAAGGCAGAACAATTTTACTGTGGAGACACTGAAGGAAAGAAAGTAAGCTGGGCATATATGACATACCTTCTCCTTTGTGCTTTTCTCTGCTGTTTTGTCCTTTTGTTTTTATAGTGACAATGTTGTGGATGCTTCGTTTTTCAGCCACTGACACCTAATTCTCCAAAATTATTTAACACATCTTTAATTTGTTCTGGTCTAAAAAGGTGATGTCAATCCTTCTGCATGGAGATGCTGCTTTTGCTGGCCAAGGGATTGTTTACGAGACTTTCCATTTGAGTGACCTGCCTTCCTATACAACATATGGGACAGTTCATGTGGTGGTGAACAATCAGGTAAAATAGTTCTTTTGTTATCATATCAGATTCTCTAACTTAAATTTTACCAAGAACAAGCAACAGATTAGGAACTGTGTTATTGTGCAAGCTCTTAGTTGAACTTTAGAAGAGGTGTTTTGGTTAGGTTTATTTACTTTGAAGTTATCAAAGAGTTGATCGAGAATAAAAACTGAAATTCAACTTAGTGTTAAAGTTGTCAGATGAAGTCTGATTTCCTGATGGTTAGCCAAGAACATTTCATGCTTTCTGATTTGACACCAATGATCATGAAACTAAGGGATAGATTTGTATGTTATGCTACATTCATGATGATATTAATTATATTAATATCATGATGATATTAATGGGTGATAAAAACCTCTTGAAAGGGACGATTTGTTGTCAGTTCAATTTGAGGGGATGAAACTTATGGAATAGAGATACTACTGCTGTTTGTACCAATTAACAGCCACCCTTATCTGAGACTTACATATAAATAAAGGTCTTACATCTTGTACTGCAAAATGCTATTATTCCTTTTCTTAATTTTCCTTGGTGAGACCCTCATTGTTATAATGTGCCTTTGCATAGTAGTCCTTGAGAAATTTTCCTTCAGTTCTATCTTGATAGCTCTGTTTATTCCTCTAGGTGAAAAGCCTTTTGGAACAGGACAGCAGTGGTTTTGGGCTTCTCTCTTTTAACCTATGACCTTTTGCGAAGAGTGTAGGAAAGAACAGATTTAGGGTTCCAGGACATTCCCTACTGTTTGAATCAGAAAGAAGTTGTCTAAACAGACAACTTTATTAGGAATAATGTCTGCGAAATACAAAAAAGAAATCCAGTATTTAATACTACATATAATTACGGTGGCAAGGATTGCCTTTGCCCCAGAAATGGAAAAAACAAATCAATTCCAAGCGAAGATGGAATAATAAGAAAGGTTATGGATTGTGCCGAAATGGACAAACTAACTAAAGAAATCCAGGGAAAGGAAGAATCAGAATTCTACCAGATATGGGATAAACGGTATAGGTAGATGGAAGAAAGAAACAAGAAATAATTAAAATATGTTAGAGATTTCTATGGGGATGATAGCGAAGTTGGAAAGTGGAGCTTAAACACATGCCGTTAATGCCAGGAAAAATGAAAAA